CATTTCGGCAAAAAAATTAGCAACAATGAAACTAACAATTCCATTATGACCCAAAATTTAATTTTCGACTCTTGCTTGTGGTTATATGTTAATTTTAGTCAACGATTTTTCGATTACATCACAATACTATACACAGTCTGGCGAGACTTAATACCACGACAACATTCTTCTTAAGTCTTCATCGATATAATCAGAATAGCTTGTCGAATTAAGTCACTATATTTTAACAGAAATTTAACTTTATCGCGTTAATATTCGAGTTGTCATACTGTTAATCTAAGACGCATTTAATGTTACTGTAAAAGCTTAATTAAGCAAGCCACAATCAGAAACATGAGCAAATTACATTTTGCTTGGCATCTCATTAATGCGTAGTATTTGTAATTTGCTACTTCATTAACCAGAAATTAACCAACACGTTTTCAAACTTGTAAAAATGCAGGCATTTCTAACTGCAAAAGTTTCTGAAAAAACTCATCAATAATCTAACACGTATGTTATGTTATTAGCGGAATATAAACAAATTCCAGTGGATTTTTCTCGCCATTTGTTATTAACCGTTGCACATTATCCAACTGTAAATGTTAATTTTATTCGATTACTCAGTTGCGCGTCAGGGTGGTACTGCAAATATTTAGAAAATTTAATGATTTACTGACATTATTTAATCGCTTATATAATAAAGCTTCAAGGCGTATTATTGCTTATCCTATTGTTTTAGCAAACCAGTTTTCAAATACTTTTTATGTTACAGCATCGCACTTAGAGATCGGTAGGAGTGTGTAGAAACTGACTAAAAACCGCTCAAGAATCTTTGCACTGCCATTGAACCAAAAACCATCAGTCTCCGTACTTAACCCAGATTGTTACTTAAACAATACCATTTTAGCAAGATCAAGTAGAACGTGCTAATAGATAACACCTTGCATAATAATAATGTGTGTATCTTAGGAATTTGCAATAAAAAAAACTAAGTTGAGTGAATCCTCCAAATGAATGCAACAAGAAAAGAGTTTATGCTTTATATAAAACTCCACATTTCCAAGGTAGAAACCTTTCCAATTTATTCACAAAAAGTACTTTAATTTAATTATCTGCATATTTTGTTTTTTAATCGAATGCAATGGGTTGATATTTATACAGATTTTGCATTATCTCACAAGTTCCTGCTTAATAAGGCCAACTGCTTCTTGTAATCGACATACTCGTCTTCCAATTTAGTGCTTTCAGTGTTCCTTTTAGTGCAGACTGAGAAAAACCGGTCATAACTCTCATTTTAAATGCATAATTGCATGTTTCAAAGGTTACTACTAAATTTGGCAAGGAAACAGTCTTATCTTTGTTTATGCAAAATGAATGCACGCACTACACGCAATTCTCACTGAAATCATATTTAACAATCATCGGTAAAGGAAATCGACTAATAAGCATGTGGCTGGTTAATTAGTGGTGCCTGTCACAAACAAAAAAAATTAAATTTTGCACCTTAAATGACCCCAAACAAATAAATAATTAAATAGCCTGCTAATAACGCTCTGATAATTTTGATTTAATCCGTTATTATAATAATTATTAAGACTATAAAATAAAGTTTTTCGCTTAAGTTAGTAAAATATTATAAAAACAGTGTCCGATCGTTATAGAGTCGTAGCACTAGCAAAAGTATCCAGTTTCCTATTTGGTCGAACTGTTTTTCTACAATCAGCCAACAGTTCCGAAAATATATGTTCAACCTGCACTTATTTGCAAAGCATTTGTAAGTAATCGGAATTTAAATTTTAGTAATTTGTGATTATAGTGTATATGTAATGTATAAGTATTTGTGGTTACTCGATTATTTAAATAAACTCTTGTATTTGCTCTCACAGCATCGCCTACCCCATTTCTTACAATTTTATCAAAACCTGCTTATTAAATCCTAAAACTACCAAACTTAAGTTGTGAATATTTGGAAATTACTTTTTTATATTTAATTGATATTTTTTATTGGATTTATGGCACATTTTTTTTACAGTATGTACATATATTTTTCTTCTAAATACAATACATTTTTTCTTAATTTAAATTTTTGTACGACAAATGCGCCAAATTTTGTATTTCAAATATTCACCATAAAATCGACAGTTCTATCGCTACAAATTACTCTGAAAAGTTTTGATAAATGTATTAATGGTAAACGCCATAAACGTAAAACACACAAACCGAAAATGGACTTGGAAAATCATTGAAATTAAAAGAACTCTACTACATAGGGAAGCGCACAAGAAGCGAACTATCAGAATCAATTACGTCACGTAGAAAAACATTTAAATTACACACTTTTTTAATTTAAAACACTTTCTTAATTTAGCCCTTATTAAAAAAGATTTAGGGATACAGCAATTCTGATTCCGTCATGTATTGAATTGAGAAAACTCTAAAAACAAAAGGCAACCTTGAACAGAATTACAATTTAACAACAACAATCTTAGAATAATTCAAAAATAACAGCACAAGATAACTGTAACAAAAGATAAATCAGGTAATAAAATAAAATTATGATGCAAGTAAAGAGAAAGATCTAAAAGTCTATAATGCTAAAGCAACGAATCAAATAAATACAGTTAGAAAACGGGAAATGCATGTACGCAGTTCTCAAATTGTTTATATTTTTTATTATACTCGGAATTTTGAAATTCAAACGAATACATTTTATTGACATTCATTGTTGCCTGCTGAACCTCGAACCAGAGAATCAAAAACATAATACAGCCCAGCTTTATGTCCCACTATTCTAAAATTTTACTGCAATAACATGCCGAAAATTGCTATAAATGGTATCAAATATTAGATGTATTTTTTTGGCCTCAAAAGTAATTTTTAAACACTGGCCTATTTTTAAGTTTAGTTTAGGAGAAAAGTCAATTCCAACTTACTTATGGATAGTTCTTATTTAATAATGATTTGATAATGATCCATAGCCCCTTTTTTCTTTTTAAACCGCAGTAGTTTGAAAAACTCACCTCTCGCAGGACAGTTTGTCATTTTACGAGGACTAACTTTTCTATCGATAGAAAGCTTTGCTTAAAAACGAAAAAAAATGTGAATATTGACCAAAATGATATGTATAAGTTAAATTCCCGGCGAAAAACAGTACATTTTTAAATGTTTTTAAAAGAGTGTAGCGTCTCGACATGTTTTAACGCAAAAAGCGTATGTTTGAAGAAAACTTCATATAACCCAAATTTAGGTCAAATTCAATAGAACTTCCAAACATCGATAGTCGATTTTCATATGAACATCTTCTTTTGGTAGTTTTCACTTTAAAATACCAATTTATTTGGGATTTCCGAGCTGAATAAATATAAGAATGCATTGGAGTCGAAACATATGCATTATGGAGAATTTTTATTTAGAAATGATTTTTTTACGTGGAGCCTTCTAAGTACACAAAAATAGGTACTATAAAAGATCTGGAGACAAAAAATGTATAATTTGCTGTTTTTCTAGATATACGCGACTTCTACATTTATTTCAAGTTCCTAGAACTGAACGATCCAGTTTTTTAAGTATTTCTTGTCAAAAAGTTTAATTAGTTTTATTAATTTATTAAATGTTAGCTGTTCTGTTCATAAGGATTGGTGTATTTGATTTTGAAAGTGGTATAGCAGCTTTAATAGTTCAACTTAAATCATTTTTATTCGTACGAAATTCGAATTAATTGGGACATACATATTTTATTATTTGTTAAGAATTTTAAAAAATATATATGTTTTATATTTCTTGGGGAGTTATATAATACCGTTCTTGCGATAAATGATTCCTCGATACGTACACCTGAAACATCTTGTTGATATGTTAGAAGTAACTTCAAAAACGGTAAGATCCAGTTAAGCCAAGAAATAAAATATTTAAATTCATTTTAAACTTATTACACTTTCTACTTCAGAAAGTCATCGTGAAAGAGTACTTAATCTACTTATATAATTTTCCAATAAATATGAACAACCAACTGCATTATGTGTTTAGATTAACGATAAATAATTGCTAGAATAGATCTGAAGGACTAGAATAATACAGCTAACAAATTGGACACACAGAAATAGAGGCTTGATAGCGATAATTATAAAAATAAATACAACAATTATTAGTTGTTTGCACTTAAAAAGTTTTGCAGGTCGAGAAAGTTGACACCTTTTTCCGATTAGCTTAATCCCAATTTCCATAAACCGTAAGCAAACTTCCGAGTCTAGTTGAAACAGAAATTTGTCGATTCATACCGAATCTGTGAACTATCAGGCGACTTTTGACATTAAACTGATGAATGAATAATCAAATAGCTAGATGAGAGAAATTTTGCTTTTGAATTAGCACATAGTCTAGGAATGTGTGAATACCGAACATCTCAAATAAAAACGCCTTGGGCAACGTCTTCTTACTTTCTTTAAGTTTCCCGGTTTTTGTGTCATCTTAGTGCTGAATTGTGCATGTAATTAAAATCTACGTAACAAGGTTCAAATATGGATATTTCCTGAATTACATTTTTTCTGATGCTTAAAAGATGCCTCGCGTTTAGAGAAACACATGAACATTAATTGACAACTAAATTGGAGCTTTTAAATATGTTACAAATTATATAAAACGTTTAGTGAAAGCATTGATAGAACTGTACCTACAGGAAGTAGAGGCAAATAAATACAATAAAGCAACTAAAGAAGATTAAACTTTCAATTAAGTACATCGAAGCTACGTACTAAAGCGATCGTATTTAATGAAGTGAATTCAATCAAATAAGTCTTCCTGAACTTGAGCTGGGACCAAAAAAAACGATCAAAAAATAGTAAAATCCAAATCAAATTCCGCTGGTATAAACATTGCTAACAAAAACCACATTAATATGGATGGTTTTTTTTGTAATAAATAAATCTTCTTGTAAATTAGCATAACGGCGCGGTCGAACAAGTTTATTTATTTTGTTATTTCCAAAAGCCACAAAAAATTATTTACTTTTTTTTACTTACCAGTCGGGTCTCTATATCCAACGTTGCCGATTTTATTAGCTCCCGAATATTTTTGTATCAATAGAGCCGCCACCAAAACAAGTCTTCCACTCTTCAAGGGCATTTTTGTCGCCATAAGAAACCCGATGATCAACGAGGAACAACTTTAAGTAAAAAAGCGATAGCACTATTCAAAACCGATTAAACTAGTTGTCTAAATGTTGTTAATTACCGAACATTGGCGTCCGTGAAAATAGGTTCCAAATCGGATACTGAAAAACACGCGGTCTATCTGCTGCGAGTAGCGAAAGTATCGTTTGTACACTTGGAGTAGTAGGTTTGCTACAAGATACTGCTTACTAGCAGAAGATATCCTCGCTTTCGTTTTTTGTTCGCCGATTGCTACACATCTTCGAAATCTTCTTAAGATACAACCAGTTTCCGGGATTTAATCTTCATTAATTACGCAACAGTTTAATCGCCACAATCCATGGTTACCTAAAGATATTGCACAGCTAAAGAACACAGCTCTAAATTGATTGAAAATTTAGTTTCATTCGGGTTAAATTGAAAGGACTTCGGCTAGATAATCATATCCTTTAACAAAGAAGCTGAAGAGGTTATCGTTGCAATGAAACGTTAAACTTTCAAGGTGATAATTCGAACGGAAGCGCTGGGAATCACAGTTGATTCCATCAAAGGACGCCAAGAAAAACTGATTTTTTTTCATGTTCTCAGTCCAGTATGGAAATTCGTGTGGTTCAAGTTTAGCAAGCATTAATAGAATTGCTATTGCAATCTAAGAGATGATCACATCTGGGGACCAACCGAATATAAATATGCCTTAATAACTCAGAAGTCAGGTTCAGAATTGATCAAATGCCTTTCTTGGATGATTTCGCCTCAAGTTACCAACGTATTGAGCGAAATATTGAATAATTTTTGGGGCAAAATTTACCTTAGATAAGGAATTAATGAATGAGAGAAACTCTTCCGTTAAACGCGCTAATATTTTTTGCAATTAAAGTCACGTAAGTCTTTTTTTTAATTATAACTTAAATATACCAAAATCAACCTACAGAAATAATTGCCGTATTGGACATAACATTATTTAATTTTAATTTTCTTTGTGAATATTGTTCAAATGTATGGAGATCTCTATTATAAATATTTCTAAAATTATTTTAATTTTGAATATCTTAAGAACATCTTTTACTGATCTAAACTGCGCAACAACGTTACATTGACAAGTTTGGACCAACTTTGGAGCTTGTAAAATGCAATTCGTTTTCGGTTTGTGTGTTTTTTGCAAACAATTTTTGCCTCAAATAAAGTTTCTCTACGGGGTGGCAATGAAACAATGCAAAACTGGTGAAAGTTCCACGTGTTCTCAGTTAGAGAAAAAAAACTATTTTTTGTATTTCAACGCCGCAGTTATTAAAATGAACCTCGAATCTCGAAAAACGGTTTTACATTTTTCATTCAGCTCGATTATATACAAAGTGGTCTGAAAAAAAACAAATTTTTGGTATTGAAGTAATATTGTTTTTTTTCAATTTTGAACCATCAAATTTGAACTAACAAAATCTAAGGCTCATGTTGAAGTTAAAATTTCGCACAGTCAACTTCCTAAACAAATTCAATATACCGGGTTGTAGGAATGACTGAAATATTTGAAGTTAAGTTGAAAATCTTCCAGAATCACAGATTTTCGGGGGCAATTCTGATTTAAGTATTTTTTATTTTGAATTTTGTATTCTTAATTGGCTTATAACGTTTTCTCTTCAACACGAGCTCAGGATCGTGAAAATGGGACCAAGATCAGAATAGTTATTGCTGCAAGAGCAAAAAGTTGATGTTTTGAGGCCACCCTGTAAATAGAAGACAGGGTCAAAAATATTAAAAACTGATTTGAGCTATTTATGTTTAAATTTTTGGCGTTGAGATACAGAGAATCCTCATTTTGGCCAAACTAGGAGCATGCCGAACTTTGTTAAATTCTGCATTGTTTCATTTGCCATTCTGAAGAAAATTTATCTGAGGTCCTTAATTTTCACCAAAACATTACCGAACGAAAAACAAATGGGGCTAGATAACACTTCAAACAGAGACCAAATCGCTTAAAGAAATCAGAATGTATCCACTTTTAAAGTTAGGGCAAATTAGGCTGTGTAACGTTCATTTTGTTGAGCAGTTTATGTCGGACAAACAAAACAATAACTTTAGTTTTTTACGTTTTATTATTGATATAATCTGTGCGTATGTGTATGTATATGTGTGTATTAAAGATCCTGATTTTGTCTATATGATCTTTCTCGGAATCATTTCAAGTAACTAACGCCGATTCAGTTCAACCGACTATTTCTCTTCTGCCCTCTTGATTATTTTAATTGATCTTTTTCCTTTTCTAATTGATCATTTTGGTAATATAGTATTGTCTGTTATTGCCTCTAACTCTTCATAATAATCCATAAGCATTTTCGCTATTGAAGTACTCTAAAATAATTAAAATAACATCTGTTTTCCATAATAAAAATGTATACATATATTCCTTCATTTTCCATATATTAAATATTGAGCAAATCCACTTTGGGATCTGCCTGTGGTCGCTTTGCCACGACTCAAGCATATTTGTATGCTACGCAAGCAATCACTTGAAAATAAATTCGCCTTCTGAGCATCAAAAAATTGATGTGGGAAGTAGAGGCAAACAAAGACAATTTTAATATATCAGCCTGTTTCGTAATGTTGTCTAGAACGTCTAGCCTGATTCTGCGACAATTTGACGAAGGAAGTGAAAACTTTTATTTATATAATAGTTACAACATATTTGGAGTATTGTCGCTTTTCCTATTACTTTTCTGTCAGATATTCATGTAAAAATATCGAAGAACAGGATAAGTGAAATAAGTTACATGAGTTATCAAGTTTTTGGAAGTCATTGCTTGAAAAAGTGTTCACCGAATAATGTATGGCAATCTTCAGAACGTAATATTGCTTTTTTGGCTTCATTTTTAGATATTTCTCAAGTTTGTATATTTTTGTCATGAAACATGCCGTCGTTATTAATTATAATAATTATTTAAAATAGAGAAACCATTTGAGCATTGATTTGAAACTTTCAATTTTATTTTTTTTTCCTGTCTTAATTTTATTTCCTTTTTCTGACTGATTCAACTGAAAACTTGAACAAATCTAAGCTCATTTAATTTTTCATGTAAGTGAGTTTTAAATGATTTCTTGAAAAATAAAGTTTGTTTATTGTTGACAATGAAGATGCAACTAAAACTTGATCGGTTTCTGAAGTTATGAAATCATGTTTCAATAGTAATTGCCAAAACTTGGAAAAAAACTTTAGTATAAAGAAAACTTGCTTAATTCTAGAAAACTGATTGTGCTGTATCCAACACTAAACTGTGAAAATGTTTCGCTGATAAAAAGACTGATTATAAATAATAATATAATAATGCAGAATTTAAAGACAAAAAAAATTCAACCACATACTGTTACAAAAAAGACACGAATTTATCAAAGGCAATATTCCAAAACAAAATCTTAATTAAAATGCATAAAACAAAGTTTCAAAAAGCAATAAATTGGAATGAGCACTATTTTTAAACTGTGTTTACTAGTAAAGATGTACATCTTAATGCTTTTATCTTTCACAGAACGTTATTTTACTTAACGGATTTGTCGTCTATTTGATGAAAAAGACCGAAACGGATTCGTAAATATACCACGAGCAAAGTAAAAAATAGACTAATTGCCGGAACACAAGCTGATTCATTCACCTCAAAAACTATAAGATTTAATTAAAAAAAAATTTTTTTAAGGTTTAGGAAAATTTGGAAAAACTCTTGTATATTTTGTTAATTTTGGATAGAGGTTTGAAAGCTCTCTTGTTCATTTGGCAAACCTTTCAATATGTATTACATAATATTTCTTTACATATTTGACATTTTTACCAATATTTAAAGAAAATTACTTTATGCATAGATCACACTTTTCGAAACATTTCTAATACATATCTTGAAAATATTCAAGTGCGAAAAAAACTAGTTATCATTAAACAGATTGAGCGATCAAACTGTGGCAACTCTTCTAAATATATCGCGCATAAAAATGCAATTTTTTATTTTGTTTTTGTTCTTAACTTAGTTTAGGTGTTGCCTCTTTTGGATTTTTCTAATTGCTGCTGCTAAACATTACAGAATGGGAATAATTAATTCAGGATTTATTAAAATAAAAAGTAGCTGTATAAAAGTGTAGATTATATTCAAAATATTTGATTTTCTGCTCCGATTGATTGTCAATCTTTATAAAATCTGATCCAGAAAATATAATCCCGCTGTAGGCATAAAATAATTCTCAAATATTTCTATATGAATTGATACAACTGAAAACAAAATATTTAGGTATTTGACTTAAAAAAAAAGTGTGTTTTAGCTTAAATATTAATCTGAAAGTTATTTCGAACCGTCGGACATTATCTAGCGTTCCACCTTTTTCTGTACTTAACAGCAAACTTATTTTGTTTATCTCAACACATACAGAAATCAATTAGTATCAAGTGCTTTTTACTTAATTTTTAATTAGTAATCTATATTCAGACTCCCAACTCTGGTATAATATGCCAAGCAGCTGAATCGACGTGCCTTTCGATTTGCTTAATGTTCAATTCTTATATCAAGAACTATGCAAAAAGTTCTCAAATTATTTTTATTTTTAAGTTTCTTATAGGGCATAACCCTGGCGTTTCTCCACACTCTCCTCTTCACATTCTCCAATGCTCAAGAAAAATGGCTTTCGCCAATGGTTACTAATGCAAAAAATAAGCAAATTTTGAAACAAACATATAAAAGTAGTGAAACTATTAGTTTTACAAACATTAATGTTTCGCTTATTTAATTGAAATTTCTCCGAAAAGCAATTAGATCATGGGAGAGTCTACTTCACTGCTAGGTAGGCTTTCTTTGCGCAAAATTTTTTACTTCCACCTAAGGATTGCTATCTTCAGAGCTTCTTGAAGACTTGAAGCTTGAAGACTCGACACGCAACTTGTATTTATGCAGATAGGAATGAGGATACACATGCCACTTTGTATCTAAGATAATTTGAAGTCAATCAATAACTTGAAGATGCAATCTATTCATGGCAGTAAACATCTCATTAAAATTTTATTTAAATATGTATTGAACGCGCCATGGTGGATAATTTTGAGCTGCAAAGTATCTATTCAAAAACGTGTTGCCAATTTATTGTAATTAAGTCGACCACAGTCATGCATTTTGAAACCCATTCAAAAGATATATAATTATTACGTATTTAATTGATACCTTTAAAGCTTCCCTAAACCGATGGAATCTGGGACGACTGAATCAATTAGTCTACCTTTTAATCCTTGGTGCATTTTCTAAGTTACGAAACGTAGTTTGTTTGATTAGAGAGTAATTGATAAAACCTATTAAGGTTTGAAGTAATCCCACTTTTCAAATTTTGCCAACTTGATATCGAAATTATTTATGACCAGTTGTATTTTATTTACCTGCATGTGACCATATGACCGAGTTCTCTAAATGTTGTTTATTATCGGAATTATGTCAAAATAATGATAATAAATAAGTTTCGAAAAATTCACTTTATTCAAAATATCTAAAAATCTATTATATGTACACTGCTCGAATGTCTCGAAACTCCCGTAATAATTTTAACGCTACGCAAAGGTGTCCGAAGCTAAAAGAACAAAAATTTGTACATTAACAACCCCACATTGAAGGATTATATTACTGTAACTTAATATGATAATTTAAGAACAGGTTAAAATGTACAAAATAATAGATTGCAAATGGCAAATTTGCTTTCTTTGCGTTTTTCAAACAATTTGAGGTCAATTTCCAAACAAGAACCCACTGAATAATTTCCGTAGAAAAAAGCTTCAGAAAATGTAAACACTTAAAGTGTGTGTGCATTAATTTTAACTTTAATCTCATTTGTTTTTAATACATTAGCCTTGTGAAGCTTCGAACGAATAAAACGAAATCAATTTCCTGAGCGGTTTGTTCTAAGATGCACTTAGTGTATAGTATCCCATTAAAGGAATTACCAACAAGAAAACAACCCAAGGAAAATGACAATAATTTCAATGTGATTGTATCGATAAATAATTCATAGAGCAGTGTATAAAAGCGCCATGCAAGATAATCCATTAGATATTTATACGCGTTGTTCAGGTCAACACGAACCGCAGAAATAGGTCGGATGCGTTAGCTGGCTCAAATCATTACTTCGACTTCGATCAAGAGAAGAACATCTAATAAATTAACACAGTATAAAAGTGATAACAGAGTATTTGAAAATGAGCGCGCTTTCAGACGATACGATTTTGAGCGAATGTCCATATTCACACGAAGTGATTGAGAAGGAAAAGAAAATTGCTGATATTTCTGATGATGGTGTTCACACGCATTATAACGCAAAAGGTCAGTTGGTTTATGTAGCCCCGATAAATGGGGAAACGTTTGTGATTCCGGACGCCCCTAGAAGATGCACTTGGACGAAAAATGCCAAACAGGATGGAGTGTTTTTTCCTCATACTTACCAAAACTGGTAAGCATTGTCTTTGATATTAAATAATTACTATTCCATACAATCCTAAATATTTTTTTGCTATTTACATTGATATATTGACACTAAAAACGAGTTATTATTGAAAAATGTTACAGTAAAGAGGATCATGCGCTTCATCTAAATTAAACTTGTGTTTGGGTTTATCAGATAATATTTTTCATATTTAAATTTGATTTGTTTTCCGAAATATGCAAGAAAAAATTAATTAAGTAGGCCTACGTATCTGAAATTTATAAGAATATTCCAAAAATACATAAAACCGGGCAGAAAGACCAGCGCAATTCCTTAGATATAAGTATTGCAAATACTTAGGTTTTTATGAAAATATATGTTTTTTTATCTATATTCGAAATAAATCATTTATTTATAAAGAATATTTTTGTTGTTATTTTACGTATTGTGGCAAATTTTATTGAGATTTCTGTTGTTGAATTTTGTTCTTAAAAGGTTTACTTATAATGGAAACAGGCCTATTTCAGGGAAATATTAATACGAATACAAGACGGTTTAGAACGGTAATGTCTAATATATCGTGATGTTTTTTTATAGAATTTTAAATGATAAAATTATAAATTTATTCACTTTCCTTCAGTTATTTACAGTCATAATAGAAAGGAAAACTTTTTTTGAGTAATTTGATAAGACTAAAATGAATTACCATCATTGATTTCCAAAATAATTCAGATACGAAAACGACATGCTAATAAAGAAAGTTGCTTTTGCAAATGCGTCTACATTAAATTTGTTAATCACAAATTATTAAATAAAATATGTTTCCTTAAATTGACGTACTTGCAGTAAATATAAGGAAAACCATTCAGAATTTTAGTACTATCCTAATAACAAATAATATTTTTAATAAAATTTTATTATTTATTTAAAAACAAATCAATGAATGATAGTCAGTTTTTGGCCCACAGCGTTTTGACGATTTACTCAGTATTCCGTGAGTTGAAGGTCCATCTTAGCCGTTTACGAATCAAGAGAAACATAAAAGATTTTTTACTTTTATATTTCTCTTAAATTAAACAACCTTTATGGAATAAAAATGACGCTTAAGATGTGTGTTCAAATAATGCTAAGAAACACAGCTTATTTTACGAGATATTATTAAATTATGAAAAGATGCACCTTTTTATACCGTGGTTAAATGTAAATATAATAAAATGGTTTCTATAAAATAGCCTTTGTTAAAATCCGGTAAAATCTGAGGTGAGTGTACGAACGAATTTTTCATCTTTAATAGTTTATCAGCTACTAAGCGCTAACACACTACGGCATAACCCGGTACAAAAGATAAATTCTGTCTCAAATGAGTTGCGCAAATCAAGAAAGCAGAGGAAAGTACAGAAAATCATAATGAGAAAACCAAAGACGATACTAAGAGAGGAAAGCACTAAATTTTGTTTGTTTGTTATTTCTAAGTTTCTAATAATAGTGATCTCAGAAATTCCGTAAAATATAGAGTGCACAATAATAAAAATATCACAACCTTTAGTTATCTTAAGTAAAAACTAAACTAGGCGAAAAAAGGTATCAAGCTTTCTGCCCGCAATTGTTCCATCAAAAACTTTTACTCTCACAATGGGTGAAAATGAAATGGGAAACCCTGTACTTACAATTATTTCTAATTATATAATATAATTTCGACACTATATACATTATTTTATGATCGATCAGTGACTTTTTCTATGTTTCGTGTGTTTTCCGTGGCGTCAACCTCTTCCTAGCTCTCATTAAAATACCATTAACTGGATAAAATATATTTAATGGCATTTTACATTTCACATTTGCCTTTAATAAGCTAATGTAACTAAAACGTTGGTATATACTGGATTGACACAAACGTGATTTATTACAACATGGTAGAAATAGAACTTTAACGATGTTTTGTCGTTCTTGTACTCGAATTAGTTAATAACCTGCCCATCAAAGCTTTATGACGAGTTTCTCTTTTTAATGAAATTTCGCCTACATATTTGGACTGGGCCCTACATAGTAATGATCATAAATCGACCGTATAGTGTACATTTACACTCTATAAAAAGGATTTAATTACATGAGTTCCAGAAGTAAAGTAATGGAAGTTATAATTTAATGCTTTATCAGAAACAATTCTAATAGAAGCAATCAATATAGCGAATAACGAGTTGTATAGTCTGAAAAGCTCAATTTAACTCAACCATAAGCTATACAAACCATTAAGTACATTGTTATATTTCCAAACATATATCCAGCTAAATTAGCGCAACTAAATAGAAAGCAAGTATTAAAAGATGCGTATATTTAGATTAAGGATAGTACGAGTAATAATCGGAAAGTGGATATATTTTTACCTGAAGTCATTGTCCTCTTTCTAAAAACCCATTGATCTAAGTATTTGGTTCACAATGACAATAATTTAGGCATTTGTTTTTCCAGGAAAAGGAGCGAGAAAATACAGGATAATGTTCTTCAGCTGATCGGTAATACGCCAATGGTGAAACTTAATTCAATACCCAAAAAAGCTGGAGTCAAATGCAATGTCTGTAAGTACACAGATTAATAATAATTAATAATTGGTAAAACACCAAATTTTATAAAATTTGCGCTGTTTATTATGGCAAAGCCTATCTTAGGAAATATAATTAAATCTTATATAAGTATGTAGTTTAGTTTTAATGATCCTAAAATATAAATTAATTGAATACAGTTATACAGTTTTAGATAAAGTGGTGTGCAAAAAACTGCAACGTAACTGTTATTATTTAACAATTCATGTAAATATGATAGCAAACGCTTCATTACGTGTGTTAATGTGTTGAAAATTCAATCACTTTTAAGTTATCTTCCTTATAATTTCTGCATTCATCAGATATTTTTGGAATTTATGTTATGATGTGCGGTTTAGGTCATTGGCGAGTCCAAGTAGTTGAGAACAGTTCATAGATTTTTCTTTTTTGCGTCATTTATAGATTTTAAGATACAAAACCAATGGATACGTTTTTTTTTGTAACTCACTAAATGGAACTAAAATTACTTATTAGGGGCGATAGTTTGCTATGCGGAATTTATTATTTACAGTTTTTTGTACACTATATACTTTATTTACTCTTACTCTCTTCAAGAGAACTAAGTTGCCCTTTATTAGATGCAGGCAATAACTTTAATTTTTCCTTCCGCATCATCCCCTGCTAGTAAAAACTTGTACTGTAAAACTGTAAAAAATGAAAAAGTTAAAATGTTTTGCGTTTCTCAAATTGCAAATTTTTATTTGCAATTAATTTTAGTATTTGTAATAAAGAAAATTTCGCAATACATTTTTTTTCAAAAGTTTGTAATTATTTTACATTTCATTATCCTATTTTTTGACATGTTTTTCTGATTTTTGATAATTCCTTGCCTGCATGTTATAGTTTATCTCAGATAAAATAAAATCAAGCGAAGGCGTAAAAACATTCGATTCAGTTAAATGAGAAGGAAGTTGCTTACATATTTCTAAATTGAGAATATTGTGTCTTTAAATAAACCGATCAAATTCGCATTTTCTAAAGACAAAGTTAATAAAAAAGTCTAAATTTTAATTACTTCGATGTAAACCGATTTCATGATTCGAACGGTTACAGACTGTAGATACACACAGATGAAATTTAATGATAAATCATTAGCTACAACCTCAGATTAAGATATTAAAGTCTTTGGCTACAACACGCCTTTAAGTGACTAATAATTATTCCGTATTATTTATCAGTAAATTAAACACTGCACTAGCGCAGCAAAGAACACGTTTAAAATTTAACTGAAAAAATAACGCCTAGAATTCGAAAAAACAATGTATGTTGTTATAACTGAAGCTGCAATTCTCAGGGTTTCAAAATAAATATAAAACTCAAATATTCCAATGTTTTCCTTTAAAAAAGTATGTTGTTTAATAGATAGTAGAAATTTTTTTTAGTGCTATTAAGAAATATTTTATGGAACTTATAATAATTCTTCTAAGGGCCAATAAAACGCAATGGATATAAAACTTTTCGTCCAAATATGCACTTTAATAACTTCATGATTAAAAAAATTAATCGATTTCAAAACCTGCACTAAACCGACCAATCGACATAAAATAAGCAATAACTTATTACATACGCTTGATTCCACATAGTTACCTATGTAGCTGGGAATGTACGCAGCTTAGTCGAATAAACGTATTAGAAATCGAGATAAAGTGACAAATATAAAACCAATAACATTTCCAAAACGGGAAAAAACCGGTTTATATACAGGCATTTTATATTTGTGATATAAAACCATCCTTAAATGCCATAAATGTTACACTTCAAGGTGACGATTCTAGATAAGTACATTATTGAAATATGGTACGTCACATTTAGTCATACAAACTTTGCTTTTGTATGGGATTACAAACGATCATTAGGGCTTATAGGAAGTAAATACGTATCTAAACAGTCACAAGGCATGCCATAATAGATTGGTAATTCAATAATTACAGTTTGTATATAAAAATGTGGGATTAGAAATGTGGACTTTATTGACTTCCTAGTAATCTACCATATGCCTACTAATATACTGGAAGTAATAAAATTACAAAATTTCAGCCCTTTTGCATGGTACATTGCACAGTAACTGATCCACATTGTATTTGCTACTTCGAAAATTAGGACAGTTAATATTAGTTCTTCCTATTTACTCCTAGCGAAAAGTCAGTTATTTTGGAATGTTTTGAATCGGTATTTGAAAACAAACATATAAATAGAAATATATCTACCTAACTATCAACAAATAAAATCATGGGGACCTTGCTTCCACCAATAGAAAGATCCCGTTTAACTATTTTAGTCAAGGTTTGTATACCTTGGGTTGAATTTTGCATTTGAATTTTGCATCAGGTGCATAATTATTTTTGTTGCAAATCTCAAGGAAAAGAAGATTTATTTAAACGAATGAAGTGCGTAACGTTGGCCAATCAATTTAATACACTAAAGAGAAAATCTGCGCGGTACAATCTTTCTCATAAAATCTTTCTGTTTACAATAGATTTTAGTGTTCATAATTGAAAATTATATTTTATTTATCCTACATCTTGCAATAGCGTGCAAACAACAAAACAAAATAGTTATATACGTCTGAGACAAAATGAGAAACTAGTTTACATTTTCGCTGTAAATATGTTGTTGACCGAATGTGTTTTCAATAAAAATTTATTTGTAATGAACAAAGTCTGAAATAAACTTACATGGTGTTGACAATTGCTCGTAATTTCTGAAATAACTTTAGATTAAACACTTGCATATAGTTCCTGATATTAATTTTTGTTCGGCGATTATTTTTTTAATTATATCAAATGCCGTTTTCATTTAGATTATAGTACGTTGCTGATTCTTTTTACATGCAATCAATATCATCAATTGTCCAAAAGTATGGCTGGGACAAACTAAATCGTGACGAAAAATTCATCAGTAATCAGTGTTATCATAAGAGGTAGACTTTTCAGGCCATTTCTTGAAACTAGTGGGGTTTCGGGTTTTTAGGCGTTTGTAAAATGAAATTCCTTCCTGACGTTTCGCAAGCACGAGTGGCTGGCATCTTCAGGGGTGGTTTGCTTAACGCTTACACTGTTCTGGTCGTCACATCAATATCACAACCTTTGAAGATGCAAGCCACTCGTGCTTGCGAAACGTTAGGAAGAAATTCCATTTTACGACGACCTAAAAACTCGGAAAACTCACTAATTTCAGTAATCAGTGTTGTTGATATCTATACAATTTTTCAACTTGTAGATTAGTTGGTTTCTTTAGATCCACAAGTGTTATATAATGCTTTTAGGTAATACTTGACTTCGATTATTTTTATGTCTCCGGAATAACTAAAAACAAGGTTTTTTTCGGTTTTCTCAATGATTTCTAGACGATTCTTTGGATACTTTTTTCGTCCTTTTACTAATTTTGGGATCAAGAAGTGTAGCATGAAATCTTTTTGGACCTGAAAAGTTTTAATACTTTTACGCACTAAAAATTTTCGATTAATGCAAAATTTGATTTGGCAACTCTTAGTTTCAAAATTAGTTTAAACCGATTATGAATTTTAAAATTGTATTCGGAAAAACTATTTTAAGAAATGTAGAGTCTATGAAATATTTGATAGGTAAATTATTATATTATATACACACAATTACACACAATTAATTGTGACTATATGAAATATACAATTATTTCAGAGCCAATTTGAAGCCATTTTGATCATTTTATGAAACCAGAAATATCAAAAATTGCTTCAATTTATGAAGACATTGTAGAAGATTATAGGCTCTGGTACTTTAATCTTCATATCCTTGCCTCTTGTTATTAAAATGTCTTTAAAACCTTGGCACTGAAACATACTGCATTCGTGATCACTTTGTCTGCTCAGTTCCTTGATAATGCCGATGTTCCTTGAGTTATCTGAAGAAACTCTCTCGCTTCCTTTGAAGAACGAAATTCTGGTTTTCAAATAATATTTATTTATTCATTTTAGTCCATTTCAGCCTGGTGGATCTTCAATTGTATCAATCAGTTCTGGATATGCGCTAGCTTGTCTTTCTTCAAATTCATTGTTATTCGACATTTCACCTTCTTCTATGCCATGCTCTTGTTTCATTTGTTCCTCAAAATATTTTGCACTTTGCACTGTATATTTTTTTTCTTTTCAACCGTGGGCAAGAAAAATGTGCATGATTAAGAAAAAACTATTTGAAAATTGCAAACTTTCGCACCCCATAAACATATTATGTAGCGCCCTTGAATTTAATCTTGCTTGTTCCGTAAAAAGATGTATGAACTTCAATAGTATCTTAATAAGATATAATATAAAAATCCACTAATAATTGAAACCATTTTTTATTTAACAAATTTGAACCAACTTTATATAATTACAGATGCAAAGCTTGAATACTTCAACCCTGGGGGATCGATCAAAGACCGCATCGCCAACAGGATTATACAAGATGCAGAAAAACAAGGTCTACTAAAGCCTGGAATGACTATTATTGAACCATCATCAGGAAATACTGGGGTTGGAGTTGCTCTTGCATCGGCTATTAAAGGTACAATTTATAAAATGAATGATTTTAGCGAGCAATTTTTTCTTACTTCAACACTAAAAAGTTTACATGCCCCAATCTGGACGGGATAGAAAAAATCTTCTAGCATAGATAAAGTGCAAGGAGACAAAGCCGTTTTATTTCAAATTTTCTTTGGGGTTGATCTTGATTTTCTTATAGGATACAAATGCATCATTGTAATGTGCGAGAAAATGTCCAATGAGAAAGTGGCTGTAATGCAAGCTTTAGGGGCTCGACTAATCAAAACACCCATTACAGCAGATTCTTACTCTGCAGAAGGTATTTTTGGCGTAGCCAATCGGCTGCACAAAGAGATTCCCGATTCACTGATACTGGACCAGGTAAAAAAATATTTCGTTTTGACTGTGGCGTTTTTTAATTATTTTTACAGTTTTCCAACCCAGGAAATCCTTTGGCTCATTATGACACGACCGCCGAAGAGATTTGGGATCAGTGCGACCATAAAGTGGACGCTTTGGTAAGTTACCATCAACATCAAATTAACATTTTATATTTGTCCATTGTTACTGACTGTTTCTTCTGAAAACTATTCGGTTTCTAAAGTTCCTATTTAACTTTTTCCAATGCTGTTTCTAAAATTCCGCATTCATTATTGTATTGAAAATACCATGACACTTCAGTGATTAATTTTACGATGTTTTTAATCGGGTTGGTAGGTTTTAGGGGCAGGTACTGGAGGAACTCTGACAGGAATCAGCCGCAAGTTCAGAGAACTTTCCCCGCAAACCAAAATTGTAGGAGTGGACCCAGTTGGCTCGGTTTTTGCAGTCCCTGACTCCTTAAACAAAACAGACGTAACTTTTTTCGAAGTGGAAGGTTTAGGGTACGATTTTGTGCCCACATCTCTGGATCAAACCGGTGCAGACCATTGGGTGAAAAGTAACGATCAAGAAAGCCTTACAATGGCCAGACGACTCATTAGAGAGGAAGGACTGCTTTGTGGTACAAACTCCAGCGTTACTAAGCATTTCTTATCATTTAGTTGGGTATTAATTCCTATAGGAACAAGCAGTGGAGCTGCAGTTTCAGCCGCAATGAAAATCGCAGTTCATTTGAAAGAGGGTCAAAATTTAGTGGTGATTATTCCGGACAGCATCAGAAATTACCTGACAAAGTTTGTATCCGACAACTGGATGGAGGCGCGAGGTTTCCAAATCAGTAAGAACGTTAATAAGCATTGGTAAGCAAAGGAAGATTTTTAATAGTTTATAAATTAAAATTAATTCCTGGGTTTCAGTCATTTATTGTCCCAATTTATCAATTAAAATACGTTTCG